TGACTTTATTTTTAATATAAAAAATGCAAATTTGGAAACCCACCCTACTCTTCCCCCCTAACATAATGCTTTTACCTCTTAAAAATAAAAATAAAGTACTAATTCTATATACATCACATGTACCATACAAAAATGTATCCAAAGTTTCTATTGCTACCAAAGTGTTCTAAATTAAAACGAGTTACAGAAAGCCCCTCATTGTAAACAGAAGGTTACAAGTTACAAAATCAAAGTACGCACAGGCCAGGGCAGCACGCGGCGCAGCATGCCCGCTCCCACCCGCGCCCACCTGCAGGTGCCTGTATGAAAACGCATGTCGATAGACCTTTGCAAGTTTATTTCTCATTATAAAGCAAATGAATACACTTTCTACAATAAATAACCCGCTGGGGCGTGCCGTGGGTCTGGGCTGCGGGCCGCGGGCGGGAGGAGGCGCCGCCCCCCAGCACGGCGGGTGTTTTTGGTGACTCGCGAGTGACGCACACGGCGCAGGCTCACTCTCTGCTCCTTCCACAAAGTACCATCAAAATAATGTCATTTTCTTTCTTAAAATACACATTTGTCATTGTAAATTTACATCCCGTCTTATTAAATAAGTGGTACTCTGTGTAAAGAGTATGATTTACAAAATTATTAAACATTCAAAAGTCTTTTTAAAAAAAGCTACAAATCAAAGAAAGTGACACAGCAGCACCCCCCGCGTGGCTGCGCCCACACCGCGCGCCGGACACGCCACCCACCGCACAGTGCTGAGACGAGGTGGTCTCGCAGGAAACCGGGAAGTAAAACCGCCCCTCCCCCGGGAAAAAGAATTAAAGAACTACGCCTAAAAATCAGAATAAGTTAAGTGGTGAACAATATACAGGTATGTACAGCTATCCACACTATGGACAGGCCCAGGCCCAGGGCCGCCTGCAGCCGTGTCAGTCGATGTCGCTGAGGTCGCTGGCCGGCTCGCCGTGGACGCGGCTCAGGTGGTTCATGGCGCGGTCGAAGGCCACGCGCACAGCCTTGCGGATGCTGGAGTTCCTCCCCTCCATCATCTTCAGCTTGTCTATCGTCTCATCGATGCCCAGGGGGACCATTTTGGACTTGGGAAGCCACTGCCTTTTTAAAAGGAAAAAACGGGGAAGTGAGACTTGTTTGCACGTCAACATGAACACGCTCCGCCCTCCTGGAGGAGCCCTCGAAACAGCGGGGGGTGGGGGGCTCCTGCGGGGACAGACAGAGGTGGACGGTCCCTCCCCGCACCCCTCAGGGCTAGGGTACGGCACGAGACTGTCCATCCCTCCTCCTCCTCTGCCTCCAAAACACCTCCCAGCGCCTGCGTGTCCAAAGTCATCACCACACAGGCGCGCACGGACACGGGCACATGCGCACAGGCACGGACGCGCACGCACACAGGCACATACGCAACAGGCGCGCACGCACACAGGCACACGCGCACAGGCACGGACGCGCACGCACACAGGCACATACACAACAGGCGCGCACGCGCACAGGCACGGACGCGCATGCACACAGGCACATACGCAACAGGCGCGCACGCACACAGGCACATACGCAACAGGCGCGCACGCACACAGGCACACGCGCACAGGCATGGACGCGCACGCACACAGGCACATACGCAACAGGCGCGCACGCACACAGGCACACGCGCACAGGCACGGACGCGCACGCACACAGGCACGCACGCACACAGGAACGCATGCCACAGAGGGCCAGGGACGGTGCTGGGGGCCCTACGACAGGCCCTCTGCAGACATGGCCGGCGTGAGCCCCTCAGGGCCTGATGAGGAGCATTTGCCAAGTGGCCAGCGGTGTCGGGTGGGAAGAGACGGCAAGAGGCCGGTCCCCACACTGCCAGCCCTGCTCCAGGCACACCGAGGGCAGCCAGCTCCACAAGGAACCACAAGGCACCAGCCCCCCCCCAGGCCCCACGTGCCTCAGGCAAACAGGGCGAGTCCTATGGGTGGCAGCTCTGGGGACCGTGGGTCCTGTGAGCAGCACAACCCAGGGCCCCATGGAGAGGCAGCATGGACTGTCACGCGTGCTCCACACTCAGAGAGGTCTGAACCGTGGCATATCGGGGTCCCACATGCTCTGGGCAAAAGCAGCCCGGGTGGAGGTCTGAGCAGGGCTGGGTGGAGAAGAGCCAGCCCCAGGTGACACCGGCCAGGCACTCCAGGCAGGCCCCCAGGACTGCTGTGCGCACCTGAGGTGAGCAGCGGGGAGAAGCAGCAGGACGAGGACCGGCAGGCAGCACGGCCGCCGGTCTCGCAGACGCCGTCGTGGAGGCTCTGCGGCAGGTTCCAGGGCACCGCGGCCCCAGCCTGCAGACTGCACACCGACCCCGGCCTCGACTCACCAACTTCTCTTGTTATCAAAAAACAGGACAAGGAACAGCTTCTCGTCGGACTTGGTCTGCATGTGCTCTCCAATCTTCAGTACGTCCAGGGGAGGAGCTGGGATGGTGACGCCATTGTGGTGCCCTGGCACTCGTGGCATCTTGGGGTCGATGATCTGTCCGTGAAGGACATGCTCGGGTCACACCTGCACGCTCACACCCAGAGCCACTCGCCAAGCGCCCCCACCGCCCTCCACCCCTCCCAGCTGCACAGGCAGGCGCAGCCCGTGGGCGGGGCATCTGCAGACCCGAGGCACAGGGCCACCCTGGGGTCCCCAGCCAGGCGCCACTCACCAGGGCCGGGTAGGAGGGGTAGCCGCTGCACTTGGCCCACACCACCTTCAGGGGCTCCAGGACAGAGGCGGCCGCGTCGGTGGAAATCCACATGCTGTTCTGACCCACCTCTGCGGAAGGAAGGAGGGGGCGTCAGCGGAGGCCAGGTGCTCCTAAGGCCCCGCTCGGCAGCAGGACGGGGCTCTGGGCCTTCCTCCAACAGGATGACAGTCACATACCCACCACCGGAGGGCCTGGGAGCCAGGGAGCCGCCCTGCTGCCCCTCTCATGGGGGTCCAGGACCTGTGCACCCCCTCGGTCCCCCTGCAGCCCAAGGGGCCCCACTCGCCTCTCACTGACCTGCAGAACCTCACAACCCCCCAACGGGAAGGCCTCTGGCTCCAGGTCCCAACAGCGCCCACTCATGAAGCCCTCACTGCATAGACCTGGCTCCCAGCACGTTCCTAACTCACTACTGAGTACGAAACAGACACCCCAAATTCAAAACCGCAATCCTGGCTCCCCGCACAGAGATACCACCAGCTGTTCCCACCTGTGCCCGGGCTCTCAGCCCACCCCTCCCTCTGCGCCCGGCCACGGCACTCCTAGAAGCCACAGCTATCTGTGGGGCCCCCAAGCCCAGACTGGCTGCTGGTGACAGAAGGTCCCCCTGCCCCGCACAGCAGCCACAGGCTCCCTCCACGACACTCATCCATCAGCCTGTCCCTGCTGTGGCCCTTCAGCCTGGCCTCCCCCCCCACACCAGCCTCCCTGTTGCCCCACCCCCACCTTGGGGTTTCTGCTGAGGCCCCCCTCACGGCACAGATGCCTTCCACAGCGAGAGCCACACTGACCGGACCCCCAAAGTCCCCAGGGCTGACCAGTCCCAGGCAGGAACAGCCCAGCCAGCGCCAGACCCGTGTGTCCCCTTTCTACTTCCCCGGGGGTCTGAAATCAGGGACCCACCACCCTGCAGCTGCAAACGACAAGCGACCTAAACATTCCCGGGCAGCCCCCGTGGCACTGCTGTGCAGGGACCGCGCAGAGCTGAGCGTCACACGGCACAAACAGCCGCGGGCCGAGTCAGCACTGCTCCTAAGACTCCATCTGCAGCACCCAGACCAGCCAGGCCATGGCTGGGTGGACCTGAGCACCCACCCCCAAGACACACCACCAACCCTCCCCGTGGGGCAGGCCCGGAAAGGGGCACATGAAGAGCATGGCCTTCACTCTTCGCGTGGTGTGGGCTCAGCTCCGGGCACGGAGCCACCTGGACAGGACTCCACTGCGGGAGCCCAGCCCCCGCACGCTGCAAATGTGTGGCCGCAACAGGAGACGGAAGCCCGAGGGACTCACCAGCCGCGATGCGGGCCGCCTTGGCGTAGTTTCCGTTCTCGATGCAGGAGATCAGCTCACTCCGGTCCTCCAGCGTGTGCCGGCGCACGAGGGCAGGCTTGCCTCGGCCGCACTTGGGCGCGCTAAAACTTCGGGAGAAAAACCAAGCGGAGTCAACAGGCTTGACTCAGGAGCTCGGAAGCCCAGCCTGCCGATGGCCTCCCCTCACCCCAGGCTGCGTCCCACGGGGCCACACAGGTCCTGCCTAACAACCCTAACAGCCCAGGGCCGGGCCAGGCCTGCTGTGCGGGGTCTGGGGGAAGAGCCTGCCTCCGCATGCAGCACACGGAGCCGACATGGGAGCTGCGCTCACCGCCGTTCTGCTAAAGGCAGGACTGTGAGAGGAGGACCCAGTGTCACTTTAACTGCAGACTCTAAAACCGTGTCTATAGGCCAGGCACGGTGGGATCCCAAAACGGCGGGAGGCTGAGGCGGGAGGATGGCCTGAGCCCAGGAGTTCAAGGCTGCAGTGAGCTGTGACTGCACCACTGCACCCCAGCCTGGGCCACAGAGCCAGACCCGTCTCCAGATAAATGCACAAGTAAGAGTTCATCTTCACAGCCAGATAGACAAACGTTCACCTTTCATGTAGTTTTCTTTCCGACCTCTGATTAAACTATAAGTCAGATTATGTAACATGGGGCACTGCCCCTAAAGGGCAACACGCGCGCACACACACACACACGGGCACACACATGCTCGGGCACACCCCAGCCCAGCGCTGCTCACGAGGGCACTGAGAGGGGAGCGGCCCCCCGGCTGCGGCAGGGCGGTGCCCACCTAGGGTCGCAGAGCGGGCTGTTGCTGGAGGAGATGCTGGACTCGGAGGCGCAGCGACGTCGGGGCGCGGCTTTCCTCCCTGGGCCGCTGCCCGGCTCCTGCTCGCTCCGAGCGCCCCCAAAGCCGTTGGTGAGACCTGGAACACAGGCAGGCAGGCCCTGAGCTCGGCTGCGCCAGCACGACTCACCCCGCTTCACATGCGACTTCCTCCTTTAAACTTGGAGCGTCTGACAAGGAGCACCCCGTGTGCGTGGCAAGTCTGCGCTGGCTCTCCACGCCCACGCCCTCAGCACCCAGCAGAGTCCGTGCAAGACAGTGGACACGGGGTCGCGTGGCAAGTCTGCGCTGGCTCTCCACGCCCACCCTCAGCACCCAGCAGAGTCCGTGCAAGACAGTGGACACGGGGTCACTCGCTGAGTGAAACGAGGATAACCAACCACAGGAGGTTCGAGCCGCAGCTCACTGAGCACTGTCTGAAGGAGGTGCTCCTCCTAAAAAAGTACAGATCTTGCGTGGGGCCGCTGGAGGCAACGCAGGGTGCCCTGCACGGGGCGAGCCAACCAGACCTGTCGTGCGTGTGCGGTCAAGGCCAGCGTCCGCCCCAGCCAAGACCCCCTAGAACCCGGGCCAGAGTGGGTTCCAGCCACACAAAGACACATTCTCGCGAGCAGAGCTTAAGTTTAAAAAAACCCACACATAAAACCCTTGTTCCAAGGGCCAGGCGTTGACACAAAACTCGCACTGCAGGTGACCCTCGCGCCCCACCCCCCACAGCCAGAGCTCGCTGCGTTTCAAGTGCCCTAAACAGCTGAACAGGACACAATCACATCCTCTCCATGTTTGAAAAGCTTTTTTAATAGAAACGAATCATAGTATTTTCTCCTGAAAAAGCCTGACTGTGCGTCAGCAAACAGAAACACACCCGCCAAGGCCCCGCAAGGCCCCGCAGGCCCCCGCAGGAGTCAGAACGAGAGTGGGTGGGGGGTCTCCCCCAGGGGCCCACCCTGCGCCCTCTCGGAGTGACGGCTTTCCCGACTACCTGATCCTGAAAAATTCAATTTAAAAATCTATTTCCAAAGGAACACGTGTAAATCTGCAAATATAGTGTTTCGTTAGAATTCTTCCGCTGCCCGGCTGGAGCGCAGCGGCACCGCCAGGCACGGCCACAGCACGGCAGGCCGCAACGCCCAGCGCAGGTGGCACCCCCCGCCCCCGGCTGGGAGACATCTTTTTGAGAGAGCGGCTGGACTGCGCCGTGCACTTCCTCATCCTCGGTGAGCACGACTCGCTGTCAGATGACGGCGGTGAGCCGGCCTTGGCGGCAGCCCAGAACACAAACACAGGGATGAGCAAGTTTGCTGCTCCCAGCAGACCCAGGCCCCAGGCTTCCTTAAGTGAACCCACTGGACAGAACGCCCGTTTCTGTTGAGCTCAACACTTAACATGAACTTAACATGACCTTCAACAGAAGCTTAGTGTTTTTAATTTTAACTTAATTTCACATTTATAAGTAGTAACTGCAGGTATTCAGGGGTGTTATGATCATTTTCGGCATTTGGACACGAGTAAGAATCTACAGGACGGTATTTAAAAGCAGCCCCCAAAGCCCTTGCGGAGCTGACAGCGCAGGGTGAGCTGGCTTCCTGTCCACCCGAGACACTCCTGGCAGAGGAGACGACGGCGGTCAAGGGTCTGGCCCCCAAACTCAAGCCCGGAGGGTCTCAGGAGGGCGGACAGAACCGCCCCGGCCCTCAGGGCTGCCTGAGGAGCAGAGGCCCTGCAGCCTCCCAGTCGAGGAGTCAGAGGCCGCCCACCTTGCTGGTCGGACAGAGCCCAGGGCCCAGGACCCAGGTCTGAGAGAAGGGACTTCGAGCCAGTGCCATCTGCCATCACTGAGTGGGGCACGGGCCCGAGCGGGGACCTGCCACGTGTCTCGGGGGTCCTGAATGGGCAAGGCCACTGTCCCTGGCAGTGTCTAGCCGGCAAGCTTTGAGGCCACCACCACCCACGGGATGAAGCCCCAGGACATCATGGAGGGCGGCCAGCACCCAGGCCATTCGCTCACAGCACGGGGGACAAGAACACCAAGCCACAGGCCAGGTTCAAGTGACAACCCAACGTTCGGCCAGACCACACCCCATGGCCAGGCCCCTGCCACAGCAGCGCCTACCCGCAACGCCCCAGGCCCAGAGCCTCTTCCCGGCCGAGCAGACAGGACGGGGCTGAGTCATCAGCTGGTCTGATGATTGTGCCACGTCCAGGGCCTACGCTACGGCCAGCTGGGGAGAGAGGCCAGCACAGGCCTTTACAAACCTGCCTGGCGATGCCAGATGGGGGCCCGAGCATCTGAGCACAGCGATGCCCCAGCATGTGGCCCCAGCATGGCAAAGCCGCACCTGTGACACACCCAGCCCCAACCCACAGCAACAGGTCAGCCAGAGGGGCGACCTGAGGCCCAGTCCCTCCACTGACGCCTGCAGGGACAGGCCTGGAACGCAGGAAGAAGAGACTCGACCATCAAGTGCCCCTCTGAATTCTCCTGAGCGTTTAATTAGAAGACACACAACACCAAGGGTGACACGTCACATGTACATACACCAGAAAACGTAGCCGAGCGCCCGGGAAGCGGCGGGCAGTGCAGACACATCCTGGACCCAGCCAAGGCCGCGCACACAGGAGACAGGCTGGCCTTTGCTTCAGGGACACCGTGTATCCAGGCCAGGCCCTGGACATGTCCCAAGAGGCTGCTGCCTGGGGACGACAGAGCCCCATGGAGTGGATTCTCCAAGCACTGAGGCCCGCACAGCCCACTGGTACCCACCCTCAGCACCCCTAGGAGCACCTGAAACGACACTTGGCCCAGAAGGTTCTGGAGTCCCACACCAGCCTCTGGGTGGCCCCAGCACGGGGAGCCCAAGCATGCGGTGCACAGAGACAGCCTCCCTGTCACGGAGCATCTGCAAACAGCAGGCGCTCACACAGGCCCCGCCCTTTAAATCACGCAGAGAGCGGGAAGGGGCGCTCAGCACCTATTCCAGCACAAGGAGTTTTCTTAAATGCTCAAAGTCAAGTCATGGACTATGAAACGAGAGAGCAGAGGCTCTCGGGAAAGAGCCGCCACCCCCCACCCAGACAGTCGGGGCCCTCGCCGCTGCCCCACCCCCGAGTGGCCTTTACGACCTCCTAGGAGGCAGAAGAGCAAAGGCGGAACCACATGTCCTCCTCTGCCCCACTGAGCAGCAGCCCAGCCCCCACCCCTCTGATGAGGCTGGCGGCCGAGGCTCCCCCGCCCGCTGGGCTTTGCACGACCCCAGGTAGGGGTCCACAGAGGACCTCCTGACCCGACAGTCTCCTGTGGCCGGGAACCCCCTTCTCAGAACAGCCCTCACCCACAGGGCCTGCAGGCGGGACCGCTGAACTGGGCGGGGCCCTCCCTGGCCCCGCCTCCCAACCCACGCGGATGCCGAGACTCCTCCAGCTAGAAGCCCAGGCCCTGGGCAGCGGCGCCCCGAGCTGGCTCCCAACCTCCACGGCCAACGGCCGCCAGGATGCCCGAGGCCAGGGACGGGTGCTGGCTGAGCCACGTGGTGTGGAGAGACCCCTGCCCTGCTGCGGCGCCCACACCGCCACCCCGGGTTTCACAGGCTCACAGGACGCTCAAGACGTGTCCGCACGGTGGGAAGCGAGTGCACACAGCACGGAAGGTGGCGGGTGGCTCCGTTATCCTCTGTTATGTGGTTTCACTGCTGCCAAAAATACAGCATTCTGGTACGTGTTTCAACTTTTCAGTAAAAACATCATATATGAAATCCCCACACCACGCTGCTCTTGCTGAGACTGGCTGGTGACAGGCCCAAGGCCCAGGCCAGATGCCCACCCGCGCCCACGGCGCAGGGCGCCCATCCCGAGCAGGACTTCTCAGGAGGCCACGGCAGGCGTGCGGGGCGGCCGGCAAGACAGACGACAGCGCTGCTCAGCGACTGCGGGAGGGAACGGAAATCGAGGCAGAGGGAGACGGGAGATCAGGCAGGACACAAAGAAGAGGCCGCTCCTGCTACATCTTCAGCCGGTCAGTACCGTGCGTCCACCGTGACGAACCACAGGCCGCACAGGCCAGCTCTGTGCACGCTCGGGGAGGGACTCGGCGTGGTCCGATGGTGTCGGCTGCGCTATCATGGGCTACTGGGCCACAGCACCAGGCTCTCCTCTGCGTCTGCCGCTAACTACCCATGCACGGGAGGCTGAGGCGCCGACACATCCTGCCGGCTCATGGAGGCTCTGACCTACAGAGGGTGGGCCGGGCCCAGACCTCTCCCAGGGCTGTGCTTGTGGTGTTTAGAGGCTGGGCCGCTGGTAGCAATGAGATCCGTGGGAATTAAGAGAATGCAAAGCGCAGTGGCCTCTGCGTGCCGCGACGGCCGCTCGGCACAGCTCCAGCCCCGGCTGAGGAAGGGACAGTGAAGTGAGGAGGATCCAGACAGAACCACCTGGCACATTAGCAAAGTGGGAACCTGGAAAACATTGAAAAGGCGCTCAGTCTGGACGGAAGGGCAGAAGCAGCTCGGCCTCCTCCCGCTCGCTCCCGCCCAGCACACGCGCGAGAATCTCGCAGCGGAGTCTCAGGAGAGGAAGGACGGGTAAGTGCTGGCCTGGCGGTCACTGCTGGACATAAACGGGCAGTCACAGAAGAAGGAAGCTATGAGCCGGGGATGGCTCCGAGGTGACGTCCAGGAGAACTCAGAACGGGGGAGTCTCAGGGCGGGCAGATCTGCTCCCACGCTAAGACGGGATCTTGCGGTGCACTGGAGAACACCAGAGAACGCCCTAGAGTTCAGAGCGCATGGAGGAATGTTTGGGGAAAAGTCAGAAGCTTCCAAGTACTGCAAGTCCTCAGACTGAAGAACTGCAAGTTGGAGCAAGAGATCGCAGGCGTGCAGCGGGAGGGGGCAGGTGCAGACGGCACGGAGCTGGCAGCACAGACCACGCCCGGCCCGCCCGGCTGAGCAGACGCAGCGGCAGATGCCTTGTGCTCCTGAGGCTCTGATCCTAGGGCTAAGGCTCTCGCTGCCCAGGAGCGTGCTTAGGGGTTCACCATGCGGCCACTGAAATCTACTGCCACTCTGGAATAAGAAAGCAGAAATCTCCATTTCAGTCAGGGTCAAAGGGTACAAATACTCTTCAAGAAACGCACGCTGGGGACCATGCTTATTAAAATACTGTGGCAAGACTGCTTTCAGACTCACGGTCGCCACTGAAAACCTGCGGAATACTCCACTCAGGAGTGGAAAAGTGGAACAGAGGGGACACGTCACTCCCTGCAAGGGACATCTGACCAGCAAGTCCGAGAGGCTCCAAACGCCAGGAAAACCACGCCGAGAGCTGGAAGCCCACAAGTGGCAAAGGCTCCAGTGGGGCCACCTGGGGAAAGCCACCCAATGAGCCCCCAGAGAGCAGGGAGGGAGGCTACTGCCTCTGACACCAACTGCTCGGTGGGGCCTTGACACAGCACCTGCACAGTGCGGCCAACAGACGCGAAACCCAGAGGAAATTGGTGGTGGGCCCAAGCTCCATGTTGTGTGTGACATGGACACCTAAGACCAAGAGATCCTGCCCGCCGGGGCCTGGCTCCGGCACCATGACCCGCACAGAACCATCTCTGGGCACCCAGAGCACAGCCTGCTGACTCTATTCACCCCCACTGGGGCTTTTCAGTGAGCTTTAAAAACCAGCTGAAAGAGTCTTCGCCACATTTGGCTGAGAAAGGCGAAAGTATAGTTTTGTTTTCTTTCTTCGCTCTGTCACCTGGGCTGGAGTGCAGTGGTATCATCACAGCTCACTGTAGCCCTGAACTCCTGGGCTCAAGAGATCCTCCCACCTCAGCCTTCCAAGTAGCTGAGACCACAGGCTCACACCACCACACACAGCTAGTTTTTCTATTTTGTAGAGAAGGTGTCTTGCTACGTTGCCCAGGCTGGTCTAAAACTCCTGGACTCAAGCAATCCTCCTGCCTCAACCTCCCAAAGTGCCAGGATTACAGGTGTGAGCCACCACGCCCCGACAAAGTATAGTTAGGAGAAATTACCAAGTACTGAGACAAGTCAGTCTAATCTATCCTTATCTGTATCCTATGAAACACTTAAATTGTCTCCTATTACTTGGAAACTAAAAAAAGGTTTTATCAAATTATTTTTAAATGCCAATTTAATATGAATGCATCAAAATAAACTTTCATGGGTAAAAAATTTCTGTACAATTAATTTATGTGCAAAATTTTCATACAAATTAAAATGAAATGTATGAGAAATGACTTTGGCAACAAAAGGCGCACTCTGCTGGCCGTGGCAGGAAACGTGCGGCCTCTGAGGACCTACGCCGGGGTCTGGCCCCCGGGGTCGGGGACGCCGCAGGCAGATCCGGGCAGAGCCGGCGGGGCTCCCGCGGCCTCACTGCCCACTCACTGCTGCAGGAGACAGCGCGGCCCCCAGCCTCACTCTCATGGCCGAACCGTGCGAGGCATCACCACACCCTGGCGCAGCCAGAAGAGAAAGCACTTCCCCTTATCCAGGTCTGACAGACACACACGCAGGACTCCGGCTCTGACTCAGGACACGGAACAAAAGGACAAGCACGCCACAGATGGGGCCCAGACAGGAGATGCTGGAGGCGGGACCTGGTACCGCCCAGGGGCCGCCACGACCGCAGGAGCGGCTCTTCCTCTGTGGCTCCCCGAGGGGTCAGGGAGGGAGGCTGCCAGAGCACAGGCCGAGCCCTTCCAGCCCAGCGGTCCCTGAAAACACTGTCCACGCTGCTGACGCAACAAATACACAGGGATGTCTTGGTAAATTACGTAAACAGACTGAAGTTATGGAAGCAAAGAACCACGTTCCAGTGCTATTTCAGTAGATGATAATTCACCATATGCACACTTAACAGAGCTACAGAAAAGTGAGGAAATATTAAAACACGTAAATCAACTGCAAAGTGCCGCATTTAGTCTAAGGACAGACCCCCTCAGAGGTCCGGGACGAGCTGTCCTCAGGAAGGAAGGTCCGGGTTCAACTCCAGGGTCCAGCGAGTGCCAGGCACCGCCGCCCACGGCCACCGGGTTACCCAGATGTGCCAGAGTCAAGACGGCCGGCTGCAGACCACACCGGAGTCGCACCTGGTGCTGAGAACACTCAGGGAAAGGAAGGACGGGCAGCAGCGGAGAGCAGCCCTGACCACGGCTCTGCAGCAGCCCACCAAGAGGCCATGAAGCCACTTGTGGCCGATGCCCCTCCAACCCCCGAGAGGGCACCAGCCTCAGACCTACAATTCGGGGCTTTTCAAAGAAAAAACGGCACCGTCTTCTTCTCTGGAAATTGAGAGGATGCTGTAAAACCAGAGCTCAGCCTCGCACGCTCCACGCCCAGCTCCCTGGAGGTCGGAACACGTCTCGGCACAGGCGCGAGGTGCTCTCGGCCAGCCACCCGTGACATTTACCTGTGTCCAGGCGCTTTCCCGGGGACTCCTCCTCCACCTCGGAGTCTCCACATGTGCTCCGCGACCTTTTCCTTGGCTGCAGAAGAGTCTCCAACCTCGGAAGGACTACAGACAAAAAGGTTTTGGTCCCTAGCTGAGGAGAAGTTGGCTGGGTTTCAGTGTTCGTGGCAGACTTTGGGGGGCTTACACTTTTCGGTTTGCAGAAGAGAACAGAAGTGCGTCTGTTTACATCGCTTGATGGCTCCGCCACCGCGGAGGCCGCCGCCGGCACATCGCCACTACTGGCGCGGGTGGGCTCTGGAGGGTGTCCGCTTACCAGTGCGCTCTGAGTGCAAGTGCTATGTGATTCATTATCAAATGTGACTCTTTTGAATAGTTTACTCTGCTCTGGGTTGAGTTCTACTGGTTTGAGGGTTGGTGGTTCTGAATTAGTCTCCGAGTTTGAAGGAAGAGGTAATGCATCTGATGGTTCAAGTTTAGGGGGAGATTTATCTCCTGAAAAAATTATAAATAAAGTGATTTTTGAAAACTGAAGATTATAAAATCTATTATAAAACTTACTATAAATGTGAAGTCCACCAAAATACTAATTCAATTAAGGACACAAAGCATCACAAATAACTGTCTGCTAAGCAGGGAGTGGCCCCGCGGGGCTCGGGCCACACTGTGTGCGCCTCCCTAGCGCCAAAGGCTGTGGGCCTCGCACCCTGGGCGCAGGGGCCCGGTGCAGTCACTGTCTGCGACAACTGTGAAAGATCACTTCACATATGCCAATATTAAATACATCGTTCAAGTTCATGACAGTCTCTACAATCAGCAATTCACTTACCTTGAGGAAGAAAAGGTATTTCACATAACTAAGGGCCTTACACTGGCATTCCAGAGCTCTACCTGGGACCACAGGTCACCGAACAAAAGGAGACACATTAACCTGAGCTCTGGTCGGGTTTGCTAAGTCAATGCCAAAAACCGTGAGTGGTGAGCAGTTGTGAATGATTCTCAAGAAAAGCAGTAAAAAAATTCCCACTCATCTCAGAACACACGGACTTCTATGCCATATCTCCGAACACTTTAACAGTAGCTTTTTCTTTTAAGTCTCTCTTCAAAAATAAAAATAGCCTTTGGAAGAAGACTATTTTAGTCTCTTTAAAACAGCTTTTGTAAAATTCCCAGCATAGAAATGAGAGGTCGGAGAGCAGCGCTCGGGGGCAGCAGGTGTGGCCAGGCGGCCGCAGCGAGAGGTTCTGCCACACTGGGCTGAGCCACTGACGTCTCTTTCCAGGCAGGACTGATTTTAGCTACAGGAAGTGTAACGTAAAACCAAGAGTAACAATTTAAATAATCCTAAGTAATATATGTTATCAGTGGTTTAGTTTTTATTAAGCCTGCAAACTTTCCAAAAACCGTTTGAAATACATATGGTTAATATTTCAATCCAAAAAGTCATTCTGAAAATGAAGCACTACACCACTTACAGGCTTCGCTGACGACTCTGAGCCACTGGACTAACTCAGACAAAAGTTTAAGAATGACACCAAAAAGCCCTCCCTGAGGCGGGGCGAGCAAACCCCGGTGCGGGGTGGCCGACTCTGCCCTGGCGCAGCCCGGCAGGCTCTGGGCTGCAGGGCGCCTGTGTCCGCCTGCCACTCGAAGCTGTCACAGCCCTCACAGGGACTTGAATGCCAATGGGGAAAGTGTCACCTCAACAAAAAGCCTTTTGTTTAAAAATGCCTTTTATTAAAAAGTCTGAGAGAGGAAACAAGCTTATCTAGCACCTAAAACTGACAGCACAGAGGCAGAACCGCCCACCTGGAGAGCACGACACCTGTGCGGGGACACTGAACTAGTCAGCGCCCCCCACCCCGCTCAGATCCCCTAGCGGGCCTAGGACAGATTTACAGAACACACGGGACACTGACCGGGTGGAAACTAAGCTGTCGATACCGGCTACGTCCCTGTCACCTGAGTGTCTGCATTTCCCTCCAGTCTCCAGGGCTAGCAGGTGTCTGGGAACACAGGCCAGAGCCACAGGGACTCGCCCTCACTCACTTCCTGCCTCCTCTTCCTCGCCCTGACCTCACGCTGAGCTGCTCGCTGTGATCCCGGTGGCCTGTGGGGCGAGGCTGGCGCCAGCCTCGGTCTTACCCTCGGCAGCACCGGGCAATGGAAGATGGAACCTCAGGGAGCCTCCTCCCAGCCATGCACTGGGCACCCCAAAGGCCCTCCCCAACCCACCTCTCCAAAGCTAGGGAACCTCAGACCCGCCTCCTGGTCCTGCCGGGCGGCAGCCATACACACAAGCCTCCTCCACCAGGGCCCACACCCCTCCTGCCGGCTAACACGCCTCACGCCGGACCCTCCACCGTCTCTGCGCCACGGGGACGGCCTGATCTTATCGCCCAACAGGAGCGCACAGCACTGCCTCGGCCGAGCGCACTCCTTGCCAGCCTGTCCGCCTGTCCCATGCTCAGCCCTGTCCCCGCCCTTCCCTGGCCCGTGGGCTCCACACCCATCCCCACCCTGCGCCGGGCCCCATGCATCCTGTCCCCAGCTGTCCCCCCGCAGTCAGCTCCACATGCAGACCAGGCTGCTGGCCCCAGCACGAGGCTCACAGGACGTGCTCCGAGGGCTGACCGAAGCACCCAGGAGGGCAGAGGCCACTCGTCCAGGTGCAAACCCACCCCCAGCAGCCTGGGCCCACAAGCAGGCCGCCAAACCTCCCTGCGCCTCACTCTCCTCACCACGAAATGAGAAAACACAGCGGCTGTGTCCTGCAGCCCGGCACCCCCTGACCTGCCCCAGCAGAGCCCAGCTGCCCAGTCCTGTCACCTGAGCGGAATCGTTTTGGATGTTAACGTGCAGGTATGAGAATTCCTTTAAGTCTCTCTTAAAGGAATTCCTTTAAGCCTCTCTTAAAGCTTCTTTTAAGAAGCTCCCTACCTGCTAGCCATGCCATGTTTTATTAACTGCATATGAGAGATGCTCAGTTAACTTCCAGAACAATCTGCGTCACAATCAAATATAAGAGAGTCTCACGAATTGCAAACATAAAAGTCAGTATCCTAGAATTCCACTCATTGGTACTTATCACAACTACAAACAGCAAAAAGGTTAGCCACGAAACGGTCTCACACACAGGATGCCTAATCTAAACCAGCCACTCTACAAAAACCGGAAGGCCCGGGTCAGCGTGCGGGACAACTCCACAGCATTTTCCACACCTGGCCGCCCGCCACCACACCAACCAAACGCTTCCTCAGCAAAGCCACCAAACGCTTCGGAAAGCCACAGCGCAGCATACAGGGACACCTTCAGCACAGGACTAGCAACCTCACCGCCCTACCGCCATCCTTCCTGGCAATTCTGAAGGGCTAATGCCACAGACACGGAACATTTTAAGAGCAAAAACTGAAAGTCCTTTCATACACAACATGACGGTGTGTGTGCACGGCAGGGAGGCTCTGCCGCGCACATAGCTGTGCCCCACGGAGCTGCTCTCGCCTACAGCGGACTCCGGAGCCTTCGGCAGGGGGGGCCGTCACCGCGACTCCACTCGCAGGCCCCGAGCACCAGCACGAGGAGCAGACTCTCCTCCAAGACACCTGCCTTCGCGGCTGTGGCCCCATCAGCCACCTGGAGCCAAAGCCGAGCACAGGGCGGACCAAGAGCTCAGCAAACGCACTCCGGCAACTCGCGCCAACAGCTCCCTTCAGCTCGGCCCTCACCCGCACGCGCTCAGTCTCCAGGCGTCAACAGGGCAGGGCCGGCTGGCACGAGGAGCCCGCAGCTCAGCAGACCGAGTCACGGCCACAGCACAGCCTTAGGGGCCTGAGGACAGAGGGGGCCACTGCCACCTGGCAGCCCAGAGGAGGTCTCCTTCCTTCAGAAACCAGGGCCTGGGGCCAGGCTCCCACAGCTATCCTTGTTCATGCTGCTGCAAACACAACAACATAGATGCTACATGAGCATCGTTAAATTGCAATTTAAGTGAGACTCTGTATTGGATATTAAGGAATCATGACTTTTTTAGGTGTGATGATATTGTAGTTATACTTAAGAAAAAGAGGGGCTGTCTCACTTAGGAGAACGTGCTGAAAAATTTTTTACATGTCTGATTCTTGGTTTTTATCCCATAATAAGCACCTCGAGTTGACATTTCTGTACAACTCACCCACGTGTCTGTGGCTGTCCCTGCCCTTCTCCAAGGGGCCCTGCCGCCCTCACCCTCGGAAGGGCCTTCAGCCCGCTGGCCTTCTCTCCCCGCAGCCCAGGACACCCCTGCTCCTCAAGTCATCGTCAACACAGTGCTAAGCCAGCCCAGGCCTCCTTTGACCTCAGATCTCACTTTGTAGAAGCTTTCTCTAAAATGACCTCAGGGCTACCCCCGAGAGGCCCAGCTGCTCCTGCCCACGGGGCAGGTGTGAGGAACCCACTCACGCAGGGGCACGAGGCCCCGGTACCGTGAAGCCAGGGCCGGTGGAGGCGGCCGCTGAAACCACCAAAAGGTAATGGCTGCTCTGCAGCTACGAGGTCAGGGCGGGTCGGGGCAGCTTTCCGGAACCCGCTGTTTTGATGACAGTGACTGTGGACAAACCTCTTCTCCAGCCCCCTGTGCAGGACAAGCAGCACACCAGCGGAGTCTGCCTGACCGACGCCCACGGGTCCGAGGACCACGCTCGGCGGGTGGGAAGAGGACCCTGCCACGGGCCGGAGGAAAGCAAAGACCATGGGAACCAGGTGAGGACGCCACCTGGACCGGGGGCAGCACCAGACCCCAGATAGGCCTGACTGCCAAAGGTTCCTGTAAGCAAACGCTCCTCAGAAAAAACCTCACGAGGACCCTAGAAAGGCAGAGGCGGGGTCATGCGCTGGTGACAAAGGCTCTTCAGAGAGCAGGAAGAAAGGGTGTTTCCACAGTGAAAAACAAAGCCTTACTCTCCAGCCCTACTATAATCTAGGTCACCCAAAAGAGAAGGCCTAGAGTCTGCGTCTTACGCTGAGGTGACCTAAACAAAAGACTCATAAAATTGGAACAAAAATGGGTATAGGCCGGGCGCAGTGGCTCACGCCTGTAATCCTAGCTCTCTGGGAGGCCGAGGCGGGCGGATTGCTCAAGGTCAGGAGTTCAAAACCAGCCTGAGCAAGAGCGAGACCCCGTCTCTACTATAAATTGAAAGAAATTAATTGGCCAACTGATATATATATAAAAAATTAGCTGGGCATGGTGGCGCATGCCTGTAGTCCCAGCTACTCGGGAAGCTGAGGCAGAAGGATCGCTCGAGCCCAGGAGTTTGAGGTTGCTGTGAGCTAGGCTGACGCCACGGCACTCACTCTAAACCTACAGAGCAAGACTCTGTCTCAAAAAAAAAAAAAAAAAAAAAAAAAAAATGGGTATAAATGAGTGAAAAAAGGGTGCAAGAAGAATTCTTAGCTGTATACACAGGAGGTAGATTTCTAAGAGAAAGAAAACCCCACGGTTCTAGCTCTAGTTGCCTAATGCCACAACGGGACAAAAAGGAGAAGTCACAGGCGGAAACCGTGCTGAGTCAGAGGGACCAGAGGCTGTCACGCCCGACCCGTGGCACTGGCCACCTGTGACGCCTCTGGGCAGGACACGGTGTGTTGAGGCAAGGTCCCAGGCAGACCTGCGCGCGTGGACACAGATGTCCACCAGAGGTGGAAGATTTTATAAAAAATCAAGTTAAAGAGCAACTGCATGTGTGTCCTGTTTTAACGCTGCTCTTGGCCGTGCGAGGCAAGTCGGGAAGGTGACAAACCGCCTGCTGGCTGTGGCAGGGGTCTGGGGCTCCAGAGGCAAAAAAAAAAACCGGGCATCACTCTGCCGACTTCTCCATGCTCAATTCGGTTCCCAATTTTCACCTCAAGTTCCCTTTTACAAACACGAGCTGCCACCTGTGCCCTCCAGCCCAGCCGACACACGGGCAAACTGCTCAGGGAACCAGCTCGCCACCCGGGGCTCACGTCTGCGCTGCCCCACTGCTTTCCCGGGGAGAGATGGTTTCTTCTCCTGTTTGTTTCCTGTCTCTACCACCATCCTGCTGCCCAGCTCCATTCCCAGTCTTCAGTTACTGTCACAACAAGCCACCCCCCAGGGACAGCTGTCCAGAGCTGAGGCCCCAGCAGAGCCCCCCACCCTCCACAGGCCAGGGAAGAGCAGTTACATGAGAGTAAACAGCCCTTCACAAAGCTGCCTCAGGTAACTAGTGCACAGCTAAATGGCTCTCCTTCGATTTACAAAGTACAACAAGAATACTTCTTACTCTCATCTGCACTTTAACTCTTTAACACAGTGTCAGACCCAAGTCATTCTTTTCAAACAGTTTTCCAGGCCCAAGTTGAAAGAAAAAATTTTATTCTGTGCCCCAAACTTTATAAACTATTTAACTGAGAAACCCCAGCACAGGCACCCCCACTGTGCTGCCTGTTCCTGGGGGACTATCAAGCCGTGGGACTCTGTGAACTTCACACAGCTAGCAATGGGCTCGGGTGGCACACGGGGACCAGCCCAGGGACACCCACGTCTGCGCCTCAGCCCTGGCCGGCAGGGAGGCGGCGGCCTCGCGCAGCAGCGGCTTACCTTCCTCGCCCGCGTCCAGCCCCAGCGGAGCACCGTCCTCTTCAAAGCTTCCAGTACCTGACCCCGCCGGGGGCTGGCTGTGCTGCTGGCTCAGCTTGTTTCGAAGAAGAGCAATTTCCTTTTTGAGCAGCTTTGCCCGCTTGCTCCGCGAGCCACTGGACTTCATGGCGCAGGTGAGGTCGAGCATGTCCAGCAGCTCTCTCAGCTGCTCCTCCAGGCCCATGTGGGCTCTGTTGGCCGGGTCCAGCAACCTGTCCACTGAACCAAAGGACAGGAGCATCAGTCGTCAAATCCCCGCTGCACCTGAGAACACCTCACTAGCCCCGCCTCTGGATCACCCTTGGCCCGAGGCCCCAGGGCAGCCCCTCAGGAGACACAGGCCCTCCCCCTCGCTCTGACCCACGACGGGGCCACTGCTACAGGGAGACGTCAGGATGCACCTGATGGAGAGTTCTAGGCCAGCGAGGGGCACGTGCAGACAGTGTCACTGCAGCAGGGGCAGCGTCCAGGTGACACCTGCAACCTGTCCTGAAACATGACTCAACCGAGTCCTCCTGTGAACACATCCTGACTGTTCAAGTGAGGGTGCAACACAAAGACCACCAGACAGATGTGCTCCACCAACCCGGCACAGCTCGAGATGGACCTGCGCTGATTCTGCAAACACGTGGAGATTTGCAAACATGTTAACTTGGGCTGTCTGCACATCACAAATGCCGTCTTAGCTGAAGTCTTCAGATGCAGATCATTGTGTGGCTTTATTAAAACTGGGCTGCAAAATTCACAGATCATTCTGAATTTCAGGCATATTTACTACAAAGTCCCTAGCAATTTCAGTAAAACACTAAAATTTGTAAAGCACAAATAGCCTTAAATTAGTAGAGAAGATGGCCAAGAAAAGAGGCTACTCTTTTTTTTTTTTTTGAGACAGAGTCTCACTCTGTTGCCCAGGCTAGAGTGAGTGCCATGGCATCAGCCTCGCTCACAGCAACCTCAAACTCCTGGGCTCAAGCAATCCTTCTGCCTCAGCCTCCCGAGTAGCTGGGACTACAGGCATGCACCACCATGCCTGGCAAATTTTTTCTATATATTTTTAGTTAGCCAATTATTTTCTATTTTTAATAGAGACAGGGTCTCGCACTTGCTCAGGCTGGTTTTGAACTCCTGACCTTGAGCGATCCACCGGCCTCGGCCTCCCAGAGTGCTAGGATGACAGGCGTGAGCCACCACACCCGGCCGAGGCTACTCTTTAGAGCTACCTAAAGACAAAACCAGAGCAAGAGAAAAGCAGGAGAGAAAAGAAAGATTGTCCAGAAATTAACGAATTCACCTTTCTCTAGAGACAAACGTTCTACTGACAGCACCTGCCTTTCTCACAAAGTAACGAGGCACCGGCACAGAGAAATAAATATTAACACCCAAAACACAATCGTCCAAGACTTGCACCCAACCCACCACATCACTCTGACAAAACACTGTTTAGAGACCAGGCCTTGCTCTGTGGCCCAGACTGGAGTGAGGCAGTGCCGCACAGCTCTTGTGCTGGCCTGCAGGTGTGAGCCACCGTGCCAAGCTGCACTTCACAGACGGCACCTTGGAAACACTCATGCAAACAGAATCCATGTCATTCCCAAAGAAAAAAGCCTCCTGTCGTCTGGGGTTTTCTAAGCAGCTCAGAAGCCTCTGTGTCTGCGCCACGGGGCGCTGTCACCAGGGCTCAGGCACTGGCAGGGGTGCCGGGAACCCCGAGGAGCAGCCCCGTCGAGGCACAAGCTGGCCCACTGGCCCACACACTGAGGGAGAAATAAATCAGTACTTCTCATCCTTCATTTTCTCCTTAGCAAAAAACCTGGGTGCAGAAATTTATCTGCCATCCATTATCTGAAAGGTGTCAACACCCAGAGGCCCCTAAGTCCTTTCTGCTCAAAGACAGAGTGGCAGGAGCCGAGGGTGGGGCTGGGAGCAGGGCTCGGGGTCACAGGACTCCCTACAGAGCCCAGGCGAGGTGCATTTTGGCTCTTTCCACTTTTAAGGGCCAGCAACCAGCAGCCATCCTGGGAGCAGCCACGGTGCCAGTGGGCCTCTGAGAGCTGCCGGCTGGCAAGAGGTCCACGCCAGGCAGGGCTGCTGGGCGCAGGACACTCTAGCAGACAGTGAGCACCCGCAGGCCACGGCTCGCCGGGAGGGGCTCTCAGCCTTGCGCTTCTCAGGACCTGAGCGATGTCTCAGAAAAGCCAGCTCTCATTTGACTGGCCGGGAAGCACAGACACAGGACCTACAGCTCTGCCTCGGTTCACTGAGAGCTGTCAGTGGGTTTGGGGTTTGCGTTTGTTTTCCAAATTTTTGCAAGAACAAGTGTTAATCTTAAAATCAGAGGCAAAAAATAAAAACATATTCCCATTCCTTAAAAAAAAGGGCACAAACCTATCCTGCACACCCTGGATGCCGGAGCTCTGGGGGGAGACAGTCCCGGCGTGCTGGGCACAGGAGGCCAGAACTGCTGCCTGAGGGAGGCGCAGCGGGAGCGCATGGAGGGTGGGGCGGGGCGTCCCCCAAGCACAGCTCATCCAGGGGAAGGTCAGGCCAAGAAAACAAGAACATGGGACCTCCGGATAAATGAACCAGACGCACCAGGACTTGTGCAAACAACTTTAAACTCGGGAAAACCGTGCTTAGAAGTGCTCTGTCAACCGACCTGGACGGTTCACACCACTCAATAAATGCTACTGTCAGCCTGACAATCAAGGCGCGGTGAGAGGCAGCCCTGGTTTGCGAGGACCTGTCCGCAGGAGGAGGCGGGTGTTCAGACAGCCACGTGTGTGCCGTGGCAGCAGAGACGCTGGCCCAGGCTGGGGTCACCCCGCGCTGAGGCCCCTCCGCAGCTGGTGCAAACCAGGAGGGGAGAGGGCCAGAGCTCCTCTGGCTGCAGGTGCACCAGGGCCCACTCTGGGCCAACCAAACTGCTTTCTCGGGCTGTATGGCCGAGACCTGGGCTGCCCCACAGGGAGGGCCACACGGTCTCTCAAGCAGGCACGTGAACCGCTGCGGGTCTGAAGTGAGGCGTGCCATGAGCAAGACACACGGCAGGGAGCAAAGACGGAGAACGCTAACAAAGTACATTCTCGGTGGTTTCATCTTGCTCTCAGGCTGAAATCACAACGCTTTGGACACACTGAGTTAAATAAGATACGTTATTAATATAAATTTCACCTGTTTCTTTTAATTTTTCAGTGACGCTACTAGAACATTTAAATCACACGTGTGGCTGGTGCCGTTTCTCCTGGACTGTGCCAACGCAGAGCGGGCAGCACAAAGCAGGACAGAGCCATCCTGCCGGAGCAGCAGCCTCCCACCTGTCCTCGGACTCAGCGCCCAGTTCTTACCGTCTTCCCAGGAGAAAGGCCGCCGAGGGGCCGCGACGGGCCGCTCGGGCAGGTGCATCCCCGAGGCCTCTTCCAAGCCGATGCTGTCCACCTCGCGCCGGGCCTGCCTCAGAACAACACCTCCCTGATCACGCAGCCTCACCGCGGCTCTATAGAACACGGTGTCCCTGGCATTGTACTTCATGCAGTTATCTACAATGAGATCAAAATCCTCCTCAAACTCATGGAGGTTTTTATACCCTTGAGCTTCTAACCGTTTCCTCATTGTGGCAAAGTCCATGGGATGTTTAATGTGATCCAAATAATCTGGTACCTAATTTTAGGGAGGAAAAATAATCATTTACAAACTAAAAAGGATACTTAGCTTATACTACATTTATTATTCCACATAACCAATAACCCACCCCTCCTATTTGAGAGCCACACATGCACACACTCACACACACGGTACAGACTAGTTCCCCACAGCTAACGAGAGGCAGCAAGGCAGCCAGTCAGATACGAAACCCAAGTCCCCGCGGGGCCCTCCTGACTCGGGCTCCTTCGCCAAAAGCACGCAGCGGTGTGCTGGTCAGACAGACGCCACGCGCTGAGGGTCCTGTCTGAGGGGAGCCCCAACCCATCACACTTCCAGTATTTTACAATGAAAGGTATCACTTTTATAATCAAAAACTACATTTATTAAATAAAAATGAGAATCAAGAACAGAAGTAACATACTCTACTTGGTTACACATTTACTAATCAAGCAGCAGCGCAAATCCACAGTCACTCGTGGGATGGGACAGCTGGGCAGCCGTGAACACCCACCTCCTTCAGACTCACGGGCTGGGCAAATATCCTCGCAGGGTCCTTCTCCTGCAGCTGGTCCAGGACCGAGCGCAGCAGCACGGTCAGTGGGGTCAGCCGCAGCTCCATGGCCACCTGCTCCACCTTCACCTGTGAGGACAGATGAAGAGCCCGCTGTAGAAAAGCTCTGCTGCCACACGGAAGCTCGTGTCCAAGCGCCCCGCCTCCCACAGGCACCTGTGCTTCTCTCAAGGCAGAGGCCAACGGCGGACCCACAAAGGCCTCGCAGCCCAGGACAGATGGTCTATCCCATCCCGGCCTGGCCCTGAGCAAGGCACTACCATGGGGTCACCGAGGCAGATGGAGGGCAGCGGGCAGGACTGCAGGTGCCTGAGGGCACACCTGCTCTGCCAAGAGCGGCTCAGGGCATTTCTACCTGTCCCAGAGACCAGCAGAGGCCTCGGTGCCCTCCAGGGCCTCACCTGCTCGCGCTTGAGCTTCTCCCGCTTGCGCAGCAGCTCGATCAGCAGGCGGGCACGCTCCAGGTCGTGCCGTAGCCGCTGCCAGTACTTGAGCTTCTCTTTGGCGGCTTGCATCTCCTCGTCATTTTCTCTCTGTGAAAATTAATGCAAAGCTTTCCTCAGTCAAACCGAGAAGCCCTCCCTACAAAGGACCTCAGATACCTGTACCGGTGAGCCCCCGGGAGTCTGTGCATGCCGGAGCATCACAGCATGGGGTCCACGGGCCTGTCCTAGAGAGGACATGGACTGTCCCTCAATAGAGGACCCCAGGGCAGCATCCTGGCAGAGGGGATGGACAGGAAAGCAGGGAGCTGGCCCCAGGGCACAGGCTTCCCCCTCCAGAGCAGGAGACTCTGTAAGCAGGGAGGGCCAGGCCAGGTTAGGAGGGCTGGGCTGTCCTGGGCAGGGCCAGGTCAGGTAGGCGGGGCTTGCTGGGGCGGAGCTGGGACTGGGCAAGGGTGGGAGGGTGGGGCCGGGGGCAGGGCCTGAATCCAAGGAGCAAAGGTGGAGAGGATGGACCTCCAGGACCCCAAACGCAGTGAGCAGCTGGAGTGAGCAGCAGGGAAGACACAGGGGCTGAGCCCACCATGGCAGACGGCACGGGCGGGCCAGACTCCCTCGCCTCGGAGCAGCGCACATGGCTGTCCCAATCGGCAGCACCTTCCACAGGGTCAGAGAGTGCGCCCCACAGCACAGGCCACTACCCCTACCGCAGCTCGCAACCAGCCACTTCCACGACAAAGAAAACCTAGTCCTGCAAGAGCCACGGTGCAGAAGGTGGCCTAGGCTACTGGACGGAGCCCGGCTCTGCCTTGGCCCACCCGGCCCCAGCGCCCCCCCGCCAGGGCCTAGGCGGGTGGAGGAACCTGCCCCATGTCGCAGGACCATTCCTGCCCCAGCCGTCCCTCTCTCCACTGCCACAGCACAACCTCGGGAAACACGCTGGCCATCTGCAGCCCTGGGCCAGCCGCTGCCAGGGGTTTCCAGAACACCCTCCACACTCCAGACTGCTCTGCCCCAGGGGTCCCACCGGCCCCTGCCCCAGGACACAGCAGCCGCCTAGGGCCCAGGCTACAGGTGTGCTTTGAAAGACTGAGAGTCCCAAAGCAGAGTCACTGTCACCAAGCCTCACACGGCAATGAAAGCACAGATGATGGTGGAGAGGGAGGCACAGGGGCTAAAAAGGGCCTGGGGAGCCAAGCCCTGCGCCCCCACCTCCCGAGATCGGGCTTCACCACGCCAGGGGGCTGCAGCATCCACCGCAGTACAAATGCCCGAGTTTATCTTAACGTTACTGAGAACTCAGACACAAAATCTGGGATAACAGTAGTATCATCCACACACAGAGCAGTAAATACATAAAAAGGTGGATTTAAAAACCAAATTCCCAGGCAGGGTGCAGTGGCTCACACCTGTAGTCCCAGCACTTTGGGAGGCTAAGGCAGGAGGATCTCTTGAGCCCAGGAGTGTGAGCTGCAGTGAGCTGTGATGATGCTATTGCTCTCCAACCTGGGGGACAGAGACCCTGTCTTTAAAAAAAAAAAAATCCCCCTGGAACACATGAAAATCACTTTGTCCATCTGTTTGAAATAGACACTTCTGAACACATCCAGAAGACGTCTTGCCTGGGAATCTGTAGGAAGTGGAAGAAACCTGACAACACCAACAAAGCCCCCTTGCCGGGGCACACATGCTGCCCCCCGACCTGCTGCGAGGGCCTGGCACGCCTTTCTCACAGGTGGCGGCTCGGTGACACAAGGACCCCAGCACAGGCAGCCTCATGCACTCGGAAGCTCCACGTCCTTCCTCTGCCCTGAGTGCTTGTTACTCCCACGTGAAGACCAGTTCTGGAAGACTCCTAAAGCAGGATGGAGGTGAAGTGGTTTCCGAGAAGGGAAAGCACAGAAGTGGTTGCCCAATGCCAGGAATAAGCGCCAAGCGCCACGGCGTTTCTGCTCTGAGTACATGGAGGAAATGCTAGCACAGGGTGGCCAGAGTCCTGCGGTCAGATGAAAACCCCCTGCGTGGGAGGGACAGAGCCCTCAGGGTGACGGCTCTCAGCCTTGGGTGTCCCCTCGGCTCCTGAGACACTGTCAAGAGCATAACACCAAGGGACGCAGGCCCAGCACCCCCAGCCCCCAGCAGCAGGGCCAGGCTCTTCTGCTGAGACCGATGCACCTGCAGCAGCGCGGATGGGCAGAGGCCACGCAAGCCGCCCAGCAGCACCCCAACTGCTCCAGGGACAGACTCCCCGAGAGCAAGCTGGGGGACGCACTCCCAGGACAGGAAAGCAGGACCAAGAGAGCGGGCACCCGAGAGGCACCACCTTGCGCGTTAAAGGCAGACGACTGTCGCATGCCGAGAGCTACATGCCGCCCCTCACGCTCCTCCCTTCCCCGTGGTGACCCGCAATGCCCACCACATGCAGCGGCAGGAGGGCCCGAGAAAGGAGCCTGCCCTCACCCACCAGGGCCTGCAGGACCCTGCCCACAGCCAGGACAGAGTGCTGCTGGGGGTGGCGCTTGCTCATCTCCCGCCAGGCTCCCGTCCCTCGCCTGCCTTCCCCAAGTCACTGCGGGCGGCAAGGGCCTCACCTGTCCTCTCTAGGGCCTGGCTGAGCGCGACGCCCAGACACACGGGTGAATCCAATGCTGACATTAAGTATTTCTAAAGTTTCAAAAAACACGAAACCACACTAAGCCTCGAAAGTCCCACGCTGGCTGATGGGGAAGCGCGGTCTCTCCCCTCCCGACGCCCCTGCCAACCCAGGGGCACCTTCGGGGCTCTCGGGCTCGCCCGTCCTCACGAGGCCCTCATGCTCTACGAGGCAAGCTGCCGCCTGCCCCTGCTCTCGAGCCCCTCTGCATGCAGCCACGGCCGGCTGCCACCAAGCCCTCGGGCTGGGTCTGCTTCGGTTCTCAGGCTGCACCCTGGCCCCCTCGCGGCGCCCAGGCCCTCACAGCCCTGCCCACTGCCCACGAACCCTGCTGCGGAGGACCTCGGCCCTCATCTCTCCAGTGAGCCCACAGATGGACAAGCCCCATGGGGCCACAGCAGCGTTTCATTTTACAGACTCTGCCTTTTGTGGCTCGTCCCCTGGCGTCAGCCCCAGATGAGCCCCGAGGTCTGGACTCTCCATTCTTCCCATCACAGCCCCTCATCCACTCCCCCAGCACTGGCGTGAAAACTGAAGCCCCAGCCCACCACGCCCCCTCCCCCACACTCTCGCCATGTCTGAACTTCACGTCTTAAAGCCCCTTTTCCCACATGCCGGAGGCCCCTGGGGGCTGCAACATGAGGGGATGGTAGAGAGATGACCAGAGACCGATGTCTTGCACCACCGATGGAAAGCGCAGCTGACTCACTCAACAACCAGCAAGTATCACTAAGCCTCTACTCTGCGCCAGGCACTTTCAAATAAAGCCCTCGTACTCTGCGGGGGCCGACTTACAAACCTGAGCAGCCTCCCAGGGAGTCCATTCCCCCACACAGACGTGACAGAACACAGTGGGAGTCCCCAGAACGCTCCACGGCCAAACACACGTGTGGTGCTGGGAATCCACTGCCCCAAGGTCCCTGTGGGAAATGGGGACTCCACCTCCAGAATGGGACCCGCAAGCCGCACCCTGCTGGATGCAGAGAGCAGCCCACAGCTCACGCACGGCTACTCCAGAGCAGGCCTGGCGATCCCACAGAGTACAGCAGCAGCCCCAGGTGCCTAACCGAGCTCCCTGCAGGCACCAGAACTGGTGCCGGTTCCGCAGCAGCACCTCCGAGACGGAAGCCCCGGCAGCCACGTGGGACCCAGCTGTGAACACAGCAGGCTGGGGCTTCTCTCGAAACGAGAGTCACCGTTTTGTGGCAGTGTAGCAAATCTGCTTTGTGCCCAAGGTTGCAGTGAAAAGGGATTCCCCCCAGCCCCTGGAGGCGCCCCCGCAGTGGGCCGAAGGGGAGGGAGGCCACCAGACCAGCTGCTCCCTACGAAGACCAGCGAGCAGAGCATCTGGGGCAGTGTGAAGAAGACCCACTTTTGTTTTCAACTTATTTTTGTGACATCTCACAGCAGCCAATTCTTTCCTTTCTGAATCCATTCTTTTGGAACTGCTTTACACTATCAGGTGATCTGTAAACCCAAACTGACTACTAAAATGTAAGTCTGTTTGGGTTTGCCCTTTAAAAAGGAAGATTCCAGCTCCTCCTTGTCCATCTCAGCTCTCGCGGCCCCTCCCTCCCCACTGTTTCAAGGCTCAAGCAGCTCTTCAGGTAAGATCCTCAAAATAAATCACTCCTTGCAGTTCCAAAACCCCAAGCCTGGGCCCAACACACAGACCCCGCCCCTGAGGCCCCACCTCGAACGCCCAAAGTGGCAGTGGCATCCCCTCCATCCCCAGAGCTGGCGCGGTGCCGGGCACAGTGAGGAGGGCCAGCCCCAGGCAGCAGGCAGAGCAGAGGCCGCACGGCCCAGTGCTCAGCCGGGCCACACGAACCCACCCTACCGTTCTGGGGCTGGAGAGGACGAGGGCCCCAGGCACCCTCTCCCTGGGGGCGCCGCGCCCGGTCAGTGGGTCAAGAGGGCAAGACCCGGGGAGGTTGGTGGAGGCCGCACCACATACCTGCTGCGTGTTTCTCTGGGACTGCAGGCTGGACTGGAGCCGCCGCAGCAGGGGGGCGCCATTCCTAGACAGCCTTTTGAGCAACCAGTAGCTGTGGGCTCGCTCCACAAACTGCTTCTTCCGCTGAATGGACACCTGATTCGCAATCCTATTTAATCTAAAACATGGAAAAACTCAGAGTTTAGCTATGAAGCAGTATGTTAAAATGTTTTCATCATGGAAACAAGAAATAATAGTGTTATTTTAATAAAACCATATGTTCACTTTGTTTTTCTCTCTGAGCCATGACACGTAATTTCTACTGTCCCTGGTACTGCTGAAACAAGGTTCACCATCTCCAATTATTTAAAGACTTCATCCACATTTAATTCACTAACACATTTATCAGATAAATATCTAGGAAGAAAATACACTGAGCACAGCTTTAAATACTTTCCAATTCTTTCTGTGTCGTCCTGCCCACACAGCTGACCTCCGCTATCTGACGAGAGTTCCGTCGGCTACAACATGACCAAATCCCAGACCACTGCTCACCCTCCCGAGGGACAGAGAAGTGGGCACTGGGCCTCCCCACTACCTCCCAGACGAAAAGAGACAACTCAAGGCAGAAGCAGCTGGGAGGGCAGACCTGTGATGAGCAGCTGCTGCTCCCGCTGCAATGACAACAGGCCTCTGCAAGTCTCATCATCCTTTTGGGGACTACAAAACTCAAAGTGGTAAAAACATTTGCATGAGGGGAAAAAATGACAATTTTAAAACCCTTCAAGGCTAACCAGAAACCTTTCATGTCACTGTTATTGTCTTTCCTGCTGAAACAAAAAATGATTCATCACCTTGCCTCAAAAGGACACTGAAAATTAACACAAATTCGATCATAAACCAAAACTTTAACAGAACAAAGACACAAAATGCAAAAAGGAGTCATTCTTCATTTTGCACCAAATTTCAAAATTTCAGAACAAAAATTAAGGGATTTTTAGATCAAATTTTTAAAAGAATGCAAATCAAAAGTTTTACAGAATAATCAATGAACAAGAATGCCAGCCCTGACAATACCAGTTTGTCCCCAAGATTTGCTCTGAATCAAGGGGCTGTCAGCTCCTGGCCGAGTTCTGCAGGAGACACTGCCCTCAGGGGCACGTGGAGCCCGCCTGGGACCACCAGGACTGTCGGCATCTCTGCAACACCATTGGACACCCCACGCCACCTCTTTGGCAGGACATGGCTTGAGTGTAGCCCTGCAGGACACCAACCAGACTAGGAACCAACTGTGAGGCCAACTCCACACTGGGAACCCTGTCAGAGGCTTTGCAAGATTGGCGCACAGGATCTAGACCAACAAGGAAGGTGCCAAGAGCTTCCATGCAAATGTGGAACCCACCGCTAAGGTGTCCACATCCTGCCTACCACCGAGGGGCAGTAGGTCTGCATGCTGGAGACCAGACAGCTGCCCACTGATGACAGAGCCCGCAGGGCAGGCTCCAGCAGAAACAAGCTGGGCGCACCCTGGCTCTGACCAAGCCCCCTACAAGGCTGCTCCTCTGCAGGCCAGGCTGGCAGGGCCTGACTGTCTCAGGGGCTGCAGATTTTGGACTGAGGCATGACTCATGGGCAGTAAACTACACAAACCTTAGCACATACACTTCCGTGCATTTTAACAGGAATACAGATTCTTTTCATGCTTATGTACACACTTAGGGTAATTTTAATGATCTCATGAGGCAACACAGATAAAACTATCTTCTAACAATTAAAAATCCAAAGAAATGCTATGGCAATAAGCTTATAAAGACTGACCTCATAAAACAAGACACTTTCTTTTCCAGGGTCAGAATTTCTGAAAATGTGAACAGCCTACAGGTAGTAAGCAACAAGGCTCTGATAAAAATATTTTAAAGGCCAGGCATGGTGGCTCACACCTGTAATCCTAGCACTCTGGGAGGCCGAGGCAGGAGGACTGCTCGAGGTCAAGAGTTCGAAACCAGCCTGAGCAACACCCCATCTCTACTAAATATAGATAGAAAGAAATTGACCAACTAAAAATATATATATACAAAAAATTAGCCGGGCATGGTGCCACATGCCTATAGTTCCAGCTACTCGAGAGGCTGAGGCAGGAAGATCGCTTGAGCCCAGGAGCCTCCTAAGTAGCTGGGACTACCAGCATGCGCCACCATGCCCAGCTAATTTTTTCTATGTTTTTTTTAAGTTGGCCAATTAATTTATTTCTATTTTTAGTAGAGACAAGGTCTCACTCTTGCTAGGCTGGTTTCAAACTCCTGACCTTGAGCAATCCTCCCACCTCAGCCTCCCAGAATGCTAGGATTACAGGCGTGAGCCACAGCACCCAGCCGAGACCTCATCTTAAAAAAAAAAAAAACCACAAATGGTAGTGTCAAGAGTATACTGAAGATTTGCTGAAGCCTTTCTGAATACATGTAATAAACGAGGTACCTTCAAAGACTCATAGGCACAACTAAAATGCACATGGTAAGATTTGTTGACAAAGCCTTTGGAGACACAACAGACATGGAGACAGTAAATGACTCGCAATGCCACGTTATTCTATTAGGTCACTAAATATGACATGTCCGATTTCAAATCAAAAGTGTAGTTTATTAAATCTCAAACAAGAAGCAGTACAATCAATCAAAGTATGTGCCTAAACTAATGACACAGTTTTGCCATTTTGACAGTAGCTTGTTTATGCCAGCAGTGAAGAAGCCTGAAGAGCGAATGACACTTTTCACTAAAGCCATTTTCCAGAGTTTGGAGAGAATTGAATACTTTTCCTTTAAAAAGTGATCCAAAGCCTGGAAGAAGTGGCAGTCAGTTGGTGCAAGGTCTGGTGAATACAGTGGACAGAGAGTTTCCAAGTACAGCTTCTGTGGTTTGAACAGAGTTGTTTGTGCAACATGTGGTCAAGTGTTGTCTTGCAAGAGGACTGGCCTGCCTCTGTTGACCAATCTTGGCTGATTAATCACAAGCATCCTCACGTTTCATCCAACTGGTTGCAGTAGACATCCGCTGTAACTGACTGACCAGGTCTCATGAAGTTGTAGGATACCAGCGCTGGACTACCAAACAGACACCAGTAGCTTTTTTTGATGAACATTCAGTTTTGAACTGTGTTTCGGCACTTCATTTTTATCCAACCATTGTGCCAAGCACTTGCAATTATCAAAAAGAATCCATTTTTCACAAGTAACAACACGGTGTAGAAACGGTTCACCTTTATGTCATGACAGCAAAGAAAGGCAAGCTTTGAGACGATTTCTCTTCTGATGCTCATTTAATTCACACGAAATCCATCTATCCACTATCCACAGCTGCTTTACCTTGCTGACTTGTTTCAAATGCTCCAATATTGTTGGAATAGTAACATCAAACCTTGGGGCTAATTCGCGCACGCATAAGTTTAGATGATTTCACTTCCACTACAGCTTTCAGCTCATCATTATCCACCTTGGTCTCAGGTGGCCCGCGTGGCTCATTTTCAAAATTAAAATCACCAGAACAGAACTCCTCAAACCATCGGCGTACTGTGCGTTCATCAGCCACGTCCTCCCCAGACACTTGGCTGGTATTTCAAGTTGTCTGCGCTGCACTGGTTCCACGACCGAACTAATACTAGAAAATAGCACCAATTTTTTACTTCATTTATCCATGGTTTCACAAAATTTGCTCTAAAAAATTTTCTGAAAGACAATTATAAGCCAAAATGTGCATTTGAAAGACTGAGGATGTACTCTGACAATAAACATAAAACAGGAAGTGTCAAAGTGAAATGTCAGAGATTATCAACTGCCAAACTTAGCACTTAAGAAAACTGGACATATCATATTTAATAACCTAATAACTTTTCTACAGGCCTGAGACTGCCCATTTTTAGCTTCTGGCAAAATTTAAGGAGGATCAAGCTGGAGGTCAGCTGACAAACATGAGTTTGGGATTTTTGATAAAGCTTGGAAGGAAATTTAAAAGTTGAGTACACTGCTACAACAAAACTGTTTACACAGTCTACTTATATATGTGATGACTTTCCAGAACTTATGTCTATAAAAACAAAAACTAGAAGCAGAATTAAGGGTGAATCTGTCTCATTTTAACAGTAAATAATATTCATCCGGCCGGCCGCGATGGCTCATGCCTATAATCCTAGCACTCTGGGAGGCCGAGGCGGGCGGATTGCTCAAGGTCAGGAATTCGAGATCAGCCTGAGCAAGAGCGAGACCCTGTCTCTACTAAAATAGAAAGAAATTAATTGGCCAACTAAAAATATATAGAAAAAATCAGCCGGGCATGGTGGCGTATGCCTGTAGTCCCAGCTACTCAGGAGGCTGAGGCAGGAGGATTGCTTGAGACCAGGAGTTAGAGATTGCTGTGAGCTAGGCTGATGCCACGGCACTCTAGCCCGGGCAACAGAGCGAGAATCTGTCAGAAATAAATAAATTAATTAATTTTTTAAAAATAATGATAATAATATTCATCCATGGAAACGCTAACTTGTCTTTTTAAAACTCCATTTCAAGCCGGGCGCGGTGGCTCACGCCTGTAATCCTAGCTCTCTGGGAGGCTGAGGCGGGTGGACTCGAGGTCGGGAGTTCGAAACCAGCCTGAGCAAGAGCGAGACCCCGTCTCTACTATAAATAGAAAGAAACTAATTGGCCAACTAATATATATAAAAAAAAATTAGCCGGGCATGGTGGCGAATGCCTGTAGTCCCAGCTACTTGGGAGGCTGAGGCAGTAGGATCGCTTGAGCCCAGGAGTTTGAGGTTGCTGTGAGCTAGGCTGACGCCATGGCACTCACTCTAGCCTAGGCAACAAAACGAGACTCTGTCTCAAAAAAAAAAAAAAAAAAACTCCATTTCATTAAGACATGCATCCACATTAAATGTCACTTACAGTTAAGAATTTTCAAGTTGTGTATTTGCTCTGAGTGTGTACTAACAACGTTAACAACCCAAACAGGAAGGAACTGCATTCTTAGGCCCAGTGTGGCTGGCACAGGGAACTGCAAGGACAGTGGGTGGCAGTAGCAGGTGTGGTGAGGGCCACCTGTCCCAGGTGGTGGCACAGGGCAACACCAGGCTGTCCAGACCCTCTGTCTAAAGTGACATCCACTTCCAACATTCCAGAAATTTGCCTTTTCACT